CGGGCATCTGGGGGGCTGCTAGGGGGGCTCTGGCGGCCGGGCGTGCCTCCCCGCCTAGCCCGGGCTCTCTCTCTCCCGCCCTCCCCTAGCAGCCCTGGCTTCTGGTGGAACCCTGCCCCTTACCAGCCTTGATGGCAGCGGGAACCTGGTGCTGGGGGCGGCCGGCGCGGCCCCGGGGAGCCCCGGGCTGGTGACCTCGTCGCTCTTCCTGAACCACGCGGGGCTGCCCCTGCTCAGCGCGCCCCCGGCCGTGGGCCTGGTCTCGGCGGCAGCGGCGGCCGTGGCGGCCTCCATCTCCAGCAAGTCCCCGGGCCTCCCCTCCTCGTCGTCCTCGTCCTCGTCCTCGTCCTCCTCGTCGTCTTCGTCGTCCTCCTCTACTTGCAGTGAGGTGGCAGCACAGACCCCCGGGGGCCCAGCGGGGTCCGAGGCTGGGTCCAAGCCTGAGTGAGGGGCCCCCCCTGGACCTCCCCACCGCCTCCTTTGACCCGCGCCTCCCGCCAGGCCCCCCTACCCCCGCCTTGGAAGAAGGCGAGGAGGAGGCCAACGGTGGGGGGCGCAGAGGGTCCCCGGAGCAGGAGTGACAAGGGAGGAAAGACCAAAAACAACAACAACAAAAAACAAATCCAACCAAAAAAAACAACAAACAAAATAGAAAACCAAAAATAATCACAAGAGAAACCAGCTGTCCCAAAGGAACCAGAGATCAAAAACAAAGCAAACCAAAAACCCGTGGCTCGAGCCAGACCTCAGTGTGCACCCTCAGCGCTACGACACCAAATATGAGTCCAGCCAGGGGCCTAGAGGCCTGTGGCCGGGTGAGGCCCTCACGGCAAGTCCCTAGCAGGGGTGCTCACCGCCAGCCTTGCTTCCCCAGCTGGTGGGAAGGGGCTGGGGTGGTCAGAGAAGTAATGAGAGAACGCCCACTGCCTGGGCCTGGGCCTGGGCCAGCGGACAGGGCCAAGCCACAGACAGAGAAGGCGTGGCCAGAGCCACCTGCCAACTGTTTTCAGAAGAGCAAGGGCCGGAACAACCTTACACCAAATATTCAGTAGCTTCATCCAAAGGATGTACAGAATTTTTAGCGTTGCGCTCAACAGAATGTGTACCTACCCTGTGCCCCCGCCCCTCCCCTCCCCACTCCCCACCCCCCTCCTCCCCCAGCTCTCCCCTGCCGTGGGCAGGGGGTCTGGCTTGAACCTCCTCTCCAGTGGAGAGTTGGGGGTGGGAGACAGGGACCTGGGGATGACTTGTCATGCCCTGCACCTCCCCCCTTTTTCCCTTTGAAGGGTGGGCTAGGCCAATTTGCCAAGTTCTAACTCTGACATGTCCCTCCCCTCCCGGCCAGCCTGCCTCTGCTCTGCAGCTGACTCCTCCCCGCAGGCCTGTGGGGAGGTGACGGTCCAGGCAAGAGGGGACTGGCGAGGCCATTCAAGTCATTTTTCCATCCTTGTCTGTCAGTTTCCCTGAAAAAAAAAAATTCATATTCCAGTGCCTACCTGTGGGATCCTTCTTCACGTTCTCTGACATCAACCAGGAACCCAAAAGAGACTCGTCTCCCGCTTCCTGTACCGTGTCCGCTGATACTGGCAGATGCCTCTTCCACCCCCACGCCCGCTCCCCATCCCTCCCACATGCACACACGCACACACCCCAGTGGCGAGCTTCCCATCAGGGTCTGTGTGGCAGGGTGGCGTGCCATTACCTGTGGCTCCCACCCAAGAGGACGCCGTGGTGGCCACCGCTCCCAAAAGACCTCTTTGCAGAGCCTTGGCCAAACCTTGTGTTTGCCCGGCCCTGGACACATCTCAAGGAGGGGTAGAGGACAGACGTCACTGGGCGCCACCTTGCCCTCCTGCTAGGGTGGAGGCCAACCACGTTTTTTGAACCAAAAACGCAAACCAACAGAAAGAAACCAAGCAAACAAACAATAAATGAAAACTTAAAAAAAAAAAAAAGGAAAAACAGAATTTATAGATATATATATATATTTAAGGGAAAGAAGATGAAGAACTCTTCAAGACTGAGAGGAAACCGCGAGGTGGAACCAAGCCCTTGGTCCCCAAGGCGGATGGAAGGATGGATGCTTCTTTCTCTTCACAAATACCTCATGGACGTCGTCGTCTTCGGGAACGCTGGAGGGGGGAGGGGGGAGGCTGGGGGGGGGACTGTCCCTCAGCCTGGGTGACAGAAGCGGGTGGGTGGGGCTGAGAGAGGGTGTCAGGGACAGGGGCAAACAGCCCCAAACTCCCCACCCGCCCCCAATCAACTGAAAAAGCTTTAAAGATAAACACAAAACAGGAAAACAAAGGAATATGGAAGCAAAAATTACGGATGAAGGAAAGCTAACAAACTTTCGGGTGGTTTGATTCCTCCTTTGATTTCGTTTTCCATTCTTGTCTGTCCGCTTCCCTGTCTTTCCCTGTTCTCTCTCTCTCTCTCTCCTTTCCTCTCTCTGCCTCTCTCCTCCCTCGCTCCTCTTCTCTCGCCTCTCTCAGTCACTTTCTTTCTGTGTCTCTCCTCAAACCAAAGTGTTGCTGTGAAGGACGCGAGCCATTGGAATCAGAGTGGGGCCTAGTGGCCTGCCCTCCATGGGCAGCGGCCAAAGGGATGGGGAGCCTGGAGCCGGCAGTGCTGTATTCCCTTGGCGGCTCCCACACCTTCTGCTGGACATTTGAGGACTGGCAGAAGAGCCTCTGGTGCCACCCTGGGCTCTGCGATGATCTCAGCGTTCTCTCTCGATTCTTGTCTCCCTTCTCCCACCTGCGGAATGAAACTATTGGGCTGGGCCAAGGAGGCAGCAGAGAGGGGTTTGGCTGGGCCACAGTGGAGTAGCCGGCCCTCCCTACCCCTGGCACCGGTGTCGGCAACTCGCTGGAATGTAAGCATCTGTGCTGAACCCTGCCCTTACCCTACCTCTGAGTTTGTCCATTGTGAGAATTTTCCTGAAGAGAGAAGGGACTGGCGACAGCCCGGGCCCCAGCCCCAGGGTTCCTGACCAGATAGGAAGGAAGGACGTAGGAGCAGAGCAGATGGATCGGATGTACAACCAAAAACCCCTCTTGAGAAGACGGCGTGGTGGAGGTGACTGCAACAGAACCGATTCTAAACCAAAAAGAAGAAGAAAAACGTTAAGCAAATCCAGGACTCACCACCACCCACTTCATCCTGCTTCCTCCCTGGAGTCCCACCGCCCAACCCCACCGCCGGGGCAGTGGGGCAGAGAGCCGAGGAGGAAATGGGGGGACTGGGATGGGGCCCATGCCCTGATTTTGATGGAGGGACCCCCATGCAGCCAGGGGTGGTGGGGGCCCTCCCCCTTCAACCCCCACACTGGGAAAAGAAAAAAAAAAACATTCCCGGGAGGGAAAAAAAATAACCAAATCCCAAGCTTTAACTACAGCTGTGAAACCAAATATTGGGAAGGGGGTGGGAGGGAGGGAGGGGCAGGTGAGCCCCAGGTCTCCCCCCACGGCCCCCCTTCCCCCGAGGACTCGAGATAAGGCACCAAATACCTCATAGAACTTTAATGTTAAAAAAAGGAAACCAAATATCATTGGCTGGGGGCCAGCCAGGGCAAGGGGCTGGGGGGGCTGGAGGGAGCCAGGGTGTTGGGAAGGTGATGGGGGAATTCAGGCCCCCCACCCCCGCCCCTGCCCCTTCCACTCCGGTCCCCACCCCACCCCCGTCTTGACTCCGGGAAACAAAACTATCTCATCGTTTTTATTTTGTGACCTGTACAGAGCCTGTGTCCGTGTGTCTGTGTGTGTGAGCGAGAGAGGTGGGGGGTGGGGGGTGGGGTGGGAGCTGGGGAATCTGTTTGTGGGGGTGGGGAGGGAGATCCCGGGCCAGGCTCTGCGATAGGTTAGATGTCTGAGGTGGGGGCCAGGGGTCTGGGTGGAAAGAGAGGAGAGATGAGTGGATTGGAGAAAGGAGGAGCTGTCGGGATTTCTCTTCTCCCCAACCCTGACCTCATACTTTGAAGGAGGAACCTCTTACTGGGTCTACCCTAACGGTGGACCTTTGAATCGTGCCAAAAAAAAAAAAAATGCCAGTAACTGAACCACCTCTCTGTTCTCTTCTGGGGAGTGGGGACTGGAAGTGGGAGGACTGGGTGGGGGTGGGGGTGGGGGTGGGTAGAGGCGGGGAACCAAAGCCCCTGTAGGGGTTGAAGCTAAGGTCAAGGGGCTAAGGGGAAGGATATTTGTTTTCCATCCAACGCCTTCCTGGGAAAGACCAAGACAGGGTCTCCAGGTCTCTGGTCCTCCCCTGGGAAGAGAGGAGATGAGGACCAGCCAGGGGCGGAGGGACCGCTGGATCTGAATAGCCGCCTGGTCCAGCCCCACCCAGGATGCCTCACTCTTCCTCTAGCCCAGGGTCAGGAACCAGAGAATGAGGTAGACTGAGCAGGACCGAGGACACTCGGGCCCCCCCTGGTCTCTGAGTGGGCAAGATAAGTGCAAGAGATAAGGCCTCCAAGAGAAAAAAAAGAAAGAAAAGAACAAACCAAAGATTTAACCATAAAAAAAAAAACCTTAAAAAATAAAACCAAAAAAAACAAAAACCACCCCAAACCCACAGACAACTCCGCTACCTTTTTATATGTTGGAAAAAAAATAAAAAAATAAAAAAAAAAATACACAAAAACTTTGAGCCGCAGTCCCTCCCCAGTGCGGTTTGAATTTTGACCTCAGCAGTCTCCAAAGTTAGACGACGATGACCAAGGCGAAAAAGAGAAACCAAACCAAAAAAACCCCCAAACGTATATTTTTAAGTATTTGTCCTTGAGATGTAAGCTCCTTGCTAAACAAACAAAAGGAGGTGAATCCAGAGAGAAGTTGCTGGACCGGAGACAACTATTTACTGTCTGTGACCCCTTCCTTCCGCCTCCTTCCTCCCCTCTTTCCTCTATCCCTGCCGCCTCCTCCCCAACCTGAACCCCCTCCCCCCACACCCAGGGGATCAGTATTTATTTATGTAATTGCCTGATGACTGGGGACCCCTCTCCACCACGTGCAGAGGGCCCTTGGGGCCAGGCTGGGGTCGGGAAGGGGCAGGGAGTCGTTGGTCAGATGGCCTAGTCTAGCTAGGTCTTTCTGGCCTTTGATCCCCTTGGCTGCCAGCTTCATCGTCCAACCACCCCCGCTGGGAGAGATCTGATTGCCTCAGCCCTGTCTCCAGTGGGTGTCTCACCTGCTCGGATGGGCATGTAGGAAAAGGTGAGGGTGGGCTGGACAGAGTGACAAGTAGCGATGGAGAAGACCGCCAAGTGGCAGCCAGAGAGGGAGGCGGCTCTGGAGTGGACCTGCCTGCCTTGGGTTCTCACCAGGTCAGCCCCGCCCCACCCCGCCCTCTTTCGATGTTGTCTGACCCCTGTGTTGGTAGCCCCTCCCTTCCCATCCTCACCCTCACCCCCACCCCAGTCTCTTCTCGTGGTAGCGGGTTAGCAGTTCTGTGTTCTAAACTCCAATCTGCTTGTTCATTGTACAATGTGCTTCTTTTAAGGCCTCCTTTTTGTAACTTGAGTGTGTCATTCATCTGAACAACAGACATCCAAAAATAAAAAATTAAAAACTGTACAGAGAAATGACGCCGGCTCTTCCTCAGTCTACTGACTCTGTCCCGGGTAGGGCAGGCGGGCAGGCGGGCAGGCTGGAAGGGGACTTGGTGCACGGGATGTCATGCGTGGGCTGGAGACTAGGGGTTTCCTTCTGTCCAGGTCTCAGACCATTGGGTGGCCTGGGGTAAAAGTGGGGATAGAGCATCTAGACAGTCCTGGAGTAGGTTCTATACAAACAGACCTCAAACCCACTGGGGTGGAGTCCAGTCCGACCCACAGCAACTCAAAAGGGCAGTGTAGAGCTGCTTCCAAGGCTGGAAATCTTTACAGGAGCAGAGAGCCTCAGCTCGCTCCGAAGGTGGGCTTAAACTTGCGGCCTCGTGGTTAGCAGCCCAATGCTGAGCCCGCTCTGCCACTGGGGCTCCTGGGTGCTAGGAAGCCTGGTTACTTCCTTGGCTGGACTTCAAACCTCAGCTCTACTATTGGGTGACCTTGGGGGAATTCCTGAGTTGTTTCTGCAGGGGTAAAGCAGGGACCCTGGTCAGAAGGCAGCGGGGTGATGATTCATGTCAAATGCGCAGGGCAGATTGCAGCCCGTCGTCCGTGGAGGACTCCAGGAAAGCCCGGAAACTGGCGATTCTGTCCCCACGCCATTCCCAGGAGCTTCCCTGGAAGACAAGACTCCAGACTCCCTGCAACCCTGTCAGGACAGAACTGCCCCTGCGGCTTTTCAGACATTTAACTCTTCACAGGAGTAGAAAGCCTCTTCTTTCTCCCATGGAGCAGCTGGTGGTTTTGAACTGCTGACCTTGGGTTTAGTAGCCATATGTGTAACCCACTGTGCCAGAGGAGCTTCCTCCCCACCCCCCCAATGATACTCTCATTCACAGAAATAGGTGCCCAGCTGGGCTAGGTCACTTGGTGGGAAGGACACCTGTTTACCGTCCTGCGGAAGCAGGGGATGACTCCCAAGACCTCACCATTGAAAGTCAGAAATGGAGAGGCACTGCCTGTGATGGTGCACTGAGAAATTAGCCAGTTGGCTCTTGTCATGTTTGCATCCTCAGAGGTAGCATGCCTAGCACACAGGTGCTGGGGTGCTGAAAATCCAATGGGTGTGGGGGAGCCAGAGGAAGGAAGGAAGAGGGAGGGACTGGATCATTTAGTAAGCTCCAAAGCAAACATCGGCAGGATTGAAAGGGAGGAGGAGGAGGGAGGCAGTATTTCTCGAACACGCATGACAAGTCAGCAGGGATGGGGAGTGAGATGTTAGCATGAGGGTTCAGAACAAGTAACTCAAGGAAGGTTATTTGGTTCAGCCCCCAGTCCTTAGTCTGATGCAGTCAAAACCACAGACACCCCCCTCCCCACCCCCCCAAGGTTGCTTCTCATCTGGCTCACCTCCAAGAACATACCAGCTCTCTGCATCCCAGTATGCCTGTCTGCTCCCCATTCTCTGCCACAAGGTCGGACTTGGACCTCCTTTGGGGTGAACACACACACACACACACACACACACACACACACACACACACACACACGGCATTAGAGAACCACTGTTCTGTCCCCTTGTCAGTTTTGCTGGTACAACTTCCAGACCCAGCTCAAAACGGTCAAATACAAAGCCTTGTAGAGGAGTTCGTAAGCCACCTTGGCCTGCATGATTTGGTGTGTGTTCTGAATGCAGACATCAGGTCTCGCCCCAGATCTAGTTGCCAAATCCCAATCTCCGGGAGAGGCATCATTCAACAGCAATCCTACCACATGGTTTAAGGCTCAAGATCCATCAAGTGTCCAACACACACTGCAACAAGGGTGTGCCGGTGCCATCTTGTTTTGAAGGACAATGCTTTAACGGGGGATGGTGGGAACTTCAGCAGCATTGATAGTGAACAGTAAATTGCCTGGAACTTGTTTGGAAATGTGTTGACAGGTATCAACTAGTGGAAGTGCCAAGTTTTCATTAGATACTCCCCCCAGGTGCACTACCATTGAGGAAGGGTAGGCACCTTGCTGCTATAAGACCCCCCTTCTCTGCTTAGAGCCTCTCTATCTTGTGGTTCGTCACCTCCACTGTCTACTCCTGGTCCCTTCCTTCAGTCTGATTTTTATCTGGTTTTGCAAGGATGCATCCTCCAGTTAAACTTATGCCATTGAGTTGTACCTGACTCAAAGGACTCTATAAGACAGGGTCAAACTGCCCCTTTGACTTTCCAACTCTTTACAGGAGTAGTAACCTCATCTTTCTCCCACAGAGTAGCTGGTGGTTTCGAACCGGGGACCTTGTGGTTATTAAGTTATTAGACCACCGGGGAAAGATGAGGAGGGCAGTTTTTGATCCCCCAATTGTTCTGAGCCTGGTGATTTGCTTCCTGGTAGATTACAACCAAGCAAACCCTGTGAAGTACTTATGCTCTGTAAATGAGGGCTGCCTGCCATGAGCCAGAACTGAAGGTCATCGGTTACTTACTTTTGGCATGCTGGACTTGGAGTTGAAGTCCATTCTGAAAGACGGTGCCTGTGATCAACACACTGACATAAAAAGTCCGGAGAGGATTTCTCTTCATTAGAAGGTGTTTAAGACATTGTGTCAGAGTGCTTTCTCTTTTAAGAAATGACTAAAGTAATCCCTAAACCCACGGCGGTCTGATTTCAACCTCTGGTGATCCTCTAGGGCAGAGTATAGCTGCCCCAAAGGCTTCCCAGGCTGCTGCGGATCTTCATGCAAGCAGAGAGCCTCAACTTTCTCCTGAGGGGGATGGCTTTGTGGCTCCCAGTGGAGTGAGTGCAGGGCGGCTCCTTCCAGTAGGCATCTTGGAGCGCTCAGGCAGCCTGTCAGCAACCTCTCGTGCAGATGATACAAGCTTGCTGTTGAAGACCAAGGATTGGCAGCCTTCAGTATGGACTGATTCAACGTAAAGAAGGATTTTCTCTTGCTTGGATCCACAATCCCAGCTCATGGAAGCAGCAGTCAAGCTATGTTTGCATTGAATACGTTAAATCTGCTGCCCCCGACCTCCGGAGAGTACTGAAAGGCAAGGATGGCCCTTTGAGGATGAAGGCTTGGCCCAAGCCATAGTATTTTCCATGGCCTCACATGCATGTGAAGGTTGCACCTTGAATAAGGAAGACCACGGAGGAATGAATGCATTTGAATCATGGTGCTGGAGAACACTTCAAGTACTGTGGCCTGCCACAAGGACAAACCGGTCTGTCTTGGAAGAACTCTGGCCAGAGTGCTCCGTAGAGGCATGGATGGCAAGACTTCATCTCACACACCTTGGACGTCTTGTGAGAAGAGACCAGTCCCAGGAAGAGGACATCATGCTTGGTAAAGTGCAGGCACAGTGAGAAAAAGTCTCGACTGAGATGGATTGACTGGCTGCGTGTAGTATTTCGTTGTCACTATGGGTCAGAACGGACTAGATGGCACCTAACAGGAATGCTCAAATGCTCTATTAACGGAATTAGGTCACCTGTTACGTCTTGGGTCCACCACCTTATGACTTGGGTAGGTCTTTTATCTTCCCTAGGCTCATCGGAGCAGTAGCTGAATCAGTGGTTCTTCAAATTCCTTTGAACCCTTAGCAGGGCCCAAGGATTGCCGAGTTGGCCATGGGGGGGTGGAGTAGTGTGCAGGCCCCTCCTCACACCTCCCTTGTCCCTGATTACAATCCACATCCCTTCCTTCTAGTGCTCACCTACTTGCTGTCCAAGGAAGAATTCTTCCCCATAGAAGGGTCTGGCGCCATGGGGGCGGAAGAGAAGGGGTGGTGTGGGCCTAAGCCACTGAAAACCCTGTTCTATTGCTGATACTCACAGGGTGACTCACTCTCACCCCTCTCAATTCGACTCTGCACGACAGAACAGCTTCTGTGGGCTTCAGGGACTGTTAACTCTTTATGGGAGTAGCAAGTAGTCTTTCTCCTTTGGAGTTGGTGGTTTGAGCTGACCTGGAGGTCAGCAACCCAAGAAGTGGCCCTGCCCCACTGCCACCTGGGCTCCCGACACACAGGGTGGTCATGAGAAACGGAGGTAACTTGATGGCAGTGTTTGGCGCTGGGTCTTTGGTGGGAAGAGCTTCAACCCCAGCTCTACCTAGACCTAGACATGGCCTTAGGTCAACTGCCTCACCACCTTTTACTTCCACTTCCTTTCCTTACAGGGTTGGTCCAGGAGACAAAATCCACACAGGGAGGCTATTGGAGGCGAGCCAAACTACGGCCAACCACCCCAATACGCTCCCCTACACAACCAGTGTTAGCTGAGCCAAGGCCCAACTCAAGAGGGGCGACAAGGCACCTCTCCTGGTAACGTGCCCTCCTCTAGCCACACATTATATGGAACCCTCTTCGACTCCATGGCTGGCTCTGATCCAAGGAACCCCCCCCCCAGAGGTCCGAGATTGGTATTCCTACATTTGCTCTTAAAGGATCCAGTAAGAAAACCAGTGGTCCTGGGGCAAGGGGAACATAGAACACATCAGTTCAGGAAGTGGAAGAACAAGGACTTCAAGTTCACCAAATGCTCAGAACGCAGAGAAACCGCTTTTTTCTCTGCCAGGCTGTGGCGACCTCTAGTGGCAAAGGTGCCAGGTTGCCTCCACCTCCCAGCTAGGGCCCTCAGGACCTCAAGTTGGCTAAAGGTTTACTCAACTCCTATTTGCCAGGCCTGGTTCTAGACTGGAGTCCTGATGGTGTGTGTGGGGGTCATGTGCCAGGCTGCTATCCAAAAGGTCAGCAGTTTGAAACCACCAAAAGACTGGGCTCTCTACTCCCAGAAAGGAATCCCACAGGGGCAGCTCTACCCTGTGGCATCAATCCGAAGGCAGTGAGCTTGGCCAATTGGTTGTAGGCACGGGGGCTCAGTGAGAAGACCCCCCCCCCCATGCCTGCTGTCACAGGAGGGCCTACCGGCCCAGTGGGACCTGATAAAAGCGCAGACACATCCAATTCCATCTTTATTTAATGGCTGCTTCGCCCTGGGGCCACCCATGCTGACAGGTGGAAAGGAGGGGGTGGGAGGAGCAGAGGCACCTTTATGCAGATCAAGGACCCCTGAGGTGAGAGACTAAACTCAGTTACAGAATGTATGCCCCAGTGGCTGAGAGCAGAGGGAGGGGCGCGTTATGTACAGAGGGTGGAGGGGGTGCCCAGGAAGAGCCTGAGCAACAGGGCGAGGGAGCCTCATGGCCGGCAAGGGTGAGAGTCAGCCACTGATCTGGACGCCCTCGGCCTCCGTGTAAATCTCAATAGCCTCCACCAGGGGCAGCGGCTCCTCTGCAGTCTCCATGACGGCCAGGCCCACAGCCGCCTCAGCCTCTGCCAGCTGCTGCCGCACAGCGGCCTGGTGCTGCTGCTGGTGGGTCTTGCGGTGCTTCCAGAGGTTGGAGAAAGAGCGGTAGCTCTTGCCACAGTCGGGACAGGAGTAGGGCCGCTCGCCCGTGTGGATGCGGCGATGCTCCGCCAGGCGCATGGAGATGGCAAAGGCCTTGCCACACACTTCGCAGGCGAAGGGCCGCTCGCCCGTGTGCAGGCGCCGGTGGTCCTTCAGGTGGGTGCTCTGGCGGAAGGCCTTGCCACAGTCTGGACACGGGTAGGGCCGCTCACCCGTGTGGATGCGCCGGTGCACCTGCAGCGACGTCTCTGTGCTGAACAGCTTCTTACACTCGCTGCACTCCAGACCCCGGCGCTGAGTGGGGGCCGGGGGGGCTGCCTCCGCAGCGCCTCCCAGAGCCATTGGGGAGGCGACTGGTGTGCGAGCAGCCCGGGGGGTTCGGGGGGCAGGGGGCTCTTTGGCCAGTACCTCCCCCGGCCCGGCGGCTGCATGGGCCGCCTCATGGGCCTGCAGCCGGGCCGCTGAGCCCACCTTCTTACCACAGGTGCCACACTCGAAGCGCCGGGGGGCCTGGGCGGCTGCGGCTGCACAGTGGTGCTCCCGGAGTCGCAGGGAGGAGGGGAAGGCAGCCCCGCAGGAGGTGCAGCGGTAGGGCTGGCGCCCGGCATGGGCCACCAGCTGGTGCACCTCCAGCAGCCGGCGCAGCAGGAAGGAGCGGGGGCACTCGCGACACTTGTAGGGGTACTCGCCCGTGTGGTGGTAGCGATGCATGAGCAGGCGGTAGGGGCGGTGGAACCGCACCCCGCACTCCTGGCAGCGGTAGGGGAAGTGCTGGGCGTGCACCAGCCGGTGCTGCCTGAGTGTAGAGCTCTGCGTGAAGGCCTTGCCGCAGTCCCCGCAGCGGTAGGGCCGCTCTCCCGTGTGTGTGAGCCGGTGGCGGGCCAGGTTGGCAGGCGAGTTGAAGGGCTTGGAGCAGTCAGGGCATGAGAAGGGGCGCTCCCCCGTGTGCGTGCGGAGGTGGTTGCGCACGTGCGACTTCTTCTTGAACATCTTGCCGCAGATGCCGCACTTATGGCGCCGCTCCAGGCGGTGCACGAACCGCTGGTGCCGCGTCAGCTGCAAGGCCTTCCCAAACTCACGGCTACACAGGAGACAGCGGTAGGTGCCCGGGGTGGCAGGCCCCGCGGGGCTCTCCTCAGACACCGGGGCTTCTGGGGCCTCTGGCTCTCCGGTCTCGGCGGGGACCACCTCAGGGAACCCAATCACGGGCTCCTCAGGGGGGACTGGCGTCGCAGGCAGAGGGACGCCCCCGGCCATGTGGGTGCGCCGGTGATAAAGGAACTTGGTGAGATTGACAAAGGTCTTTCCACAGGGACACGAGTGCAGTGGGTTTGGGGTGTGGGCTCGCCGGTGGGCGAGGAGGAGGGCCTCTGTGCTGAAAGCCAGGCCACAGTCCACACACAGGAAGTGGGACTCGCTGCTGTGGTCTCCCAGATGCTGGTCCAGGCTGGCAGGGCTGGGGAAGACACGGCTGCACAGGGGGCACTTGAAGACCCCCTCCTGGTGACTCCGCAGGTGCTGCTGCAGCTGGTGGGGCGAGAGGAAGAGCTGGTCGCAGGCAGAGCAGAAGAGCTCGGGGGTGGTCGTCCCGCTCGGCTCGCCACTGTTGCTCCTCCGAGCCCGGCGCCCCCGGCGGTCGTGCCCAACGGCTTCACCTTTGCGCAGCTCATAACTATGGTCCGAAGCCAGCAGGGGCTCTGGCGGAGGCTCAGGCCCCTCTGCGGGCGACGGGGTCAGGGGCTCAGGCTGCAGGACGGGCTCCTCGGACTCGGGGGTGGGGAAGTGGGTGGCCTGGTGCTCCAGGAAGTCAGCCGGCAGCTGGAAGAGCTGCGAGCACTGGGAGCACTTGTAGAGCAGCAGCTCCACCTCAGCCACCACCTCGGAGCTGGAGGCAGCGGCTGCGGGGATAGCCGCGCCTTCGCCGCCCTCTTCTGCCTTCCGATAGGAGTGCTCCACAGCCACGCGAGCCTGGCCCACGGGCGGCACCAAGACAACTGGGGAGCCCAGGACAACTGGGGCAGGAGGCTTTGGGGGGGTGGCTCGGAGGTGGGTCTGCCGGTGGCTCAGCCAGAGCTCCTGACTGGCAAAGAGCGCCTTGCAGTCCACGCACTCATAGTGGATGGTGCTGGAGCTCAACGTGGGCGCCTTGGGCGGCGGCTCGGCCGCCACGGCCTCCTGGGGCGCCATCATCTTCAGGTGAAGCTCCTGGTGCTCCAGGAGCTGACTGGGTGACAGCAGGAGCTGCCCACACTCCAGGCACTGGTACTGGCTCTCCTGGACGAGGGTCTGGTAGAGGCCAGTGCCTGAAGCGGCTTCTGTGGCCACCGCGACACCAGGGTCGGCCACACCCACCAGTTCAAAGTGCTGCTGGGGCACATGGGAGTTCTGGTGCAGGAGCACCTCCTCCAGGGAGCTGTAGAGCTGGTTGCACTCAGAGCACACATAGCGGTGCTCGATGTACAGGACCGTCTCCTCTGACTCCTCTGTCATGGCGGCGGCCAGGCCCTGGGCTGGGAGAAGGTGGGAGGCTGGGTTACATTCGAGCCCAGCCACTGCTTGCTTTCTCAGGCCCAGCCCCACCCCCCCTTCCACTCTCTCTTCTCTGGCACCCCAGCACCCATAACTTTTTGCTCCCATTTTCCTATCCCCATCTCCCTCCTTAGCAATTCTGCATCTCTTGAGCACACCCACCACCACCAAACCAAACCTTCCCCACAGACCTACCCAAGCTCCCAGGCTGACCTAGCTGTCTACCCACCTGGGTTTTCCCACCATAACCACTTCCCTGTGGGATCCCATCTCCCTCCTCACAAGGACTTAAGTCCCCACCCTGCCCCCATAGCCCCCTCTCCAGAAGTTCAAAACCTACTCCCTCCCCACCACCCTCCTCCTCGCTCCTCCCCTGGGTACCCAGACCCTCTTTGCAATCATTGAATCACCCCCTCCTTGGCACCCGGACCTCACCTACAATTCTAATCCACTCCAAGATACCCCCCTACCCCCTCTCCACATAGACTGACACCCCTCCCCAATATGTTCCTGGGACATCCAGACTCCCTTTAAATGTTAATCCCATTTTTTCTTCCTTGCAAAACAAATGACAAAACCAAACCCAATCACATTCACCTGTCCTACACCCCCACCCACTTCCCAGCTTTCTCCCCAAACACCCAATGCCAGAACCCCTCTTCATACCCACGTCTTTGTAAAAGACTTCTCTGCACACTTATCCTGCGGGGAGAGGGAGTAACCCTGGCCTTTGCCCCTTGCCTACACACCCCCTATTGCCCAAACTGCCCTTAGGGGCACCCAGACCCTCTTCTGATACAAGACACCTCCCTGCACCCCCCTATGTCAGCCAGACCCCTCTCAGCAGACTCTTCCCCAGGGATTACCCAAACCTATAACTTGTCAACCCTCACATCTCCCTCATTCTGGGGGTCTCCAGACCCCACTCTGCACCTTGACCTAACTGCTCCTATTTGAAAGAAAAAGTCATCTCCAGTCGTCTCCCCCACCCCCGTATTTCCACATTACATAACCCCTTCTTTACTGAGAGCCCACCCAATCTTTCCAGTCACCCCATTCCATTCCCCACCACCCCACGGCTTCTAATGGGCCTGTCTGCTTCACATCAGTCGACCCCGCAGCCCGACCCCTGCATCTGTCTCCCTCCTCGGCTTTCAAAACCCCGTTTCCTAAGAACCCTTTCCCCCCTACACCCCAAACCCTCAGCACCCTGGTCCTCCTTGCCAGATTCAACGAGATCTCTCCTGTAAAGCCACTTAATGCCCTCGGTTCCCACGACCCCACCCCCAGCCCCACCCCCACCCGGGTACACCAGTGCCTCTAACGTCCCCCCTCCGGCCCGGGACGTGCTCCGTCGCCCGGCCTCCCAGCTCCCGGCTGCCCCAAGGGGCTTGGGGGCCCTCCTGGGCGCAGGCC